ATTCCAGTGTTCTGAATGTTTTCTTACCAAATTTCTGTTTCAGCAATTACCCGTAAGGACACACTGACGCCGAAACACAGGAAACAGTACCTGATTTAAACAGTTGTTTGAACTGTTCAAAGAACTGTAATAAAGCGCGTAATCTTCTGATCTTTCTGATCTTTACTACTGGACCTATTCGGCCTATTCTTCAGATTCCCCCCATCAGCTGTCCTCTCCTATTACCTTAGCACCCAGAGCACCTTACCCCTTGGGGACGAACAGAAAAAACAGAACAGAACACTGAAAAAACACTGAGCCGTGCCCTGGGCTATTCCAGCTGATCCCAACTCTGCCAACTGCCTTAGCTGACTGCGTTCAATGTGCGTTGTAATCAGTCAGTGCCATGCCGTTTTCAGATTTTTCCGTAAGTGCCGTGCGAATTGAGTTTGGCAGGGTACAAGACGTTTGAAACTGGCTTTAAAATCACTTAAATACCTTTTCTTTTACACCTAGAATTTTCTATACACTCATTAGACGCTTCAACTGGCTTTAAAATCACTTAAATGCCTTTTCTTTTACACCTAGAATTTTCTATACATTCTACGTCGCCCTAGAAAATTCGGAGACATTCTCACACTAGATAAAGTTTTCGGAGAAAACTTGAAAGGACCCCTAAAAATTTCGGTCAAGGGAAAGCTCGTCAGGTAATCTTACGTTTTCGGAAAGCTTTCACTGTGGGCTGTTATTTTCGGGAAAGGCGAAAAACAGCCCTAAAAAATTCGAGAGGGTCAAACCACTCCTAGGACGACCGAACAGATCAAATTTTTTTAGCGATGCGAATTATTCATTTATATTGCTTTTAAAGCACTACAGGATGCATAACGAGCCATTTCAGATCATTTCCCAGAAAACGGTCGTTGGGTCGTTGATCATGACAAGACGAGTAATGAACAAAGGTTGAACCAGTAAACCAACACCAAGATCAGACACAGCCATACTCAGCAGGAATATTTTTAGAGCTCTTGGTATCGTCACTGGTTTTCTCAGAGCGATTATCGTTACAATGTTTAGTGTGATGGCGGTAAAACTGAAGAAGGCGTTGAAGACACAGTTGGCGATGAGTAGATCGTGCATCTTTACTCGAATAATGTTTTACCCAAACCTTACAACTCTTTGTGTGTTATTTGAACGAAAATAAAAGAGAAACGCTAACGTTTCATTTAATAATGATCACCTCCATAATTACCTTAGTTTATTAAAGATTATTTTCGGTCCTAATGAAAGCCGAGTCAAATAAATTTCTTCCATGAATTAACTTTTTTAAACTGATCCTGTATCACCTGCCTAAACTGCTCCTCAGTGAGGAACAAAAGTTAAACCTTTTTGGCATTAAAGATTTCCATATATCGTGTCTTTTGTCTTTTTTAAATTACTTTTTTACAATTTTTTTTTTCCAATAAAGTAGAATCCCTTTTACAAAAATTGATTAACGGGATACTTAGAAGGCCTCCTTCTAACAAAAATAACCTACATATATTACTTTAATGGTCATTGCTCAAAGAAATTGCTTCCATGACTCTTATTAAAACCTTTACTCACCTGCCTAAGCTGTTTCTCAGTGAGGAGCAACGGTGTGTTGTATTATTAATTAGGCAATTACTCTGATCAAACAGTAAAACCTTTTCGACAATAATAAATAAATAAATAATAAATAATATATTATTGCTTATAGCGCGCAAATTAACATTCGAATATGATCAAATGCCCGTTACATCTAGGATACCTAAAAACTGTAAACAAAAGTAATAAGAAAACTATATACATCATATAAAAACTAAAAATACATAATAAAAAAACTAAATTACACCGTATTAAAAATAAGATAATGTAGAAAAGGATTTTACTGGAAAAAAACGAGCAATTCCGGATCGGTTTAACTTTTTGTGGAAATTCACTGATCAGCATGTGATCGTGCTTTGTTTTACTGACATTTGACAGAGGCTTTTGCTGGATGTCGTTGTCTGGAGAACAGTAGTATAATGGAAGATGAGTAAAAATACCACGGTCACTTCTGATCAGTTTTGACCTGAAAACGCGGAACTCACCGCGACAAGGCGCCTTAATTTCAATCATGAGTAAAAAATGGATAGATGCCCCAAAATATGATTTTCCGTTCGCTTTCAGTTCCCCTTCATGCCGTTGTGTTTTATGGGAATCGGGCTTTAAATATATCTCTCCGTAAAAACGCAACCAGTAATATCGCACTGTATCAGCTCATCGGGTGGGGTTATCTGGGACTGATCTGTTCCTTTCTCACTTTATCTTTTTGAATTTTAAAGTGTTAACGTTTGACTTCTTAAAAGGCCGTTTTAGTTTTGAGTTTTTTTATTAAAATTTTCAGATCATTATAATACTTTTAGCTGAAGTTAAAGTACAGACGTATTCACCGAGATCTAATTTGTCCTTTGCGAACCATGTGAGCTCAAATTCTATTGAGTTAGCAGAAGCAAATTTCTTTGAGTAAAAAGTAAAACGTAAAGAGCAGAAGTCTTTTTAGACGACTAAGTGTTAACAAGAGATGGTTTTTATTGCAGGGAAACTCTTGCTAGGCCATCGCATTCTAACAAGAATTTCAGTCAAGCTGAGAAACTGAAAATGGACTTAAAACGTTAATTAATATTTATCGCTATATGACATTTGTGTCCATAACTTTCTTGATTCTGATGATTTCCTAAAATTCATGAAAATCATTTAGTTACAGCTTTTCGGCGTTTAATTTAACAAACTGAGTAACCTTGCTCTTTTACACTGATCAGCGAATAGACATCGCAATTGATAATCATTTTGATAATCCGTTTGCGACGGCTTATCAAAAAATTACTTAGGCTCGATTACCTGCCGCTATTCGGGAATTTAAATGAGCGTAAGCTCTAAGAGCGGCGAAAATCGAGCCTAAAAATTCCCTAGATGACAAAATTTACTACATGTAAAGAAGTAAATGAAGAATTCATTCAAATCTTCAAATTTGTTAAATACTCTGTATTGCCAAGTTTCTTTACTTTTCCCTTTTAAAAATTTCTTTTTTGTCACTAAATGTAAAATATATATATATATATACTTTAGCCTTTTCGTTATTTCTTAGGTTAAAAAAGATTAAAGAGGCCTTAATGTTACTGTTGATTATTCACTGATTAAAGGCATTCCAGGATTTAGACCTACGCCAAAAGAGAATGCTAAGATACGCAAGCATTGGGCTGGAAGCTCGAGTGCTTATAGCTTATTTCAGTCATTGCGATGAAACCGAAATGATTTAGTTGTGGGCCTATGTCTTTCTTAGTGGAAGCTTGGTGGGCGAGAGCTGGAGTGACACCTCGAAATTCGGATCTAGAAGTCCGTATTCAAACCTCCTATTTGTGTCCTTTTTCTCCATGATACAAGAAACATTGCTCCACTTCCCCCCTCCCCCTCCGTGTATAAATGGAAACCAGCGATATACCAACGTGGTCGGTAACCTTACTAACAAGCTACCTAAGGGGACCGAGTAGTGATGCTCTTCATGCTTAAAAACCGAAGACAAGCTCTATTGACTCGTTAATATAACGACCTTGCCTATGTCTAATGTCCAACAAAAGCGGTCTCACGAAGGTTTGTTCATTTCAATAAAATTGTTCATTCCAGGAAGCCCAAATTTACGGCCTTTTTCAAAGGCTCTTGAATGTTCCAACAAAACAGTGAATATAGCAACATTATTAAAAACTGAATCATTGGATAATGCAATTCTAGCATTTTGATTGGCTTAGCCGTTATGGTATATGAGCTATTATACCATGCTCTCCATATATGGTCGGTGTACGCGTCAGTTTAAAAGTGGAAGCTAGCTGAGATTTCTTTTTCGCGAAGGATAGAACGGCGCCCGAAGCAAATCGTTTTAGTTCATTTCTTAGAATACTAGAAATGCAATTTCATCGAAAGAAAAAAGACAAAAACAAACAAAAAAGCCACAAGAACTTGTTTGAAAGTTTGTCGAAAAACACATGAAAACACCGTGGAACTAAAGTACCTTGACCAGCTACGAAAGAAGACAAGTGTTGTTTCTTCATGATCGGGAAGCCATTCGCCGATCGAGTCACTCGCCGATAGATAACTGCAGCTTGTTTATCCGATATCAATAATATAAATCACAAGTAACCAGCTACAAATACAGGCTATGCAGCCATTCACTAGAGCAATCGAGGCGGCAGTATAGCTTCTTTTCTCGTTCAGCAAAACCAGCTTGTGGCTTCAAACAACTTCATAACGAGCGACCAAGGTAATACCGGTAGTTTTTCTCCGTTGTTCTTACTTTTATAGCTGCACCGCCGGAAAATCCAAATTCACAGTAATTTCGACGGCTGTCGCTTAAAAATTCTTTTCCTTCAAATTATCTGCCAGGTTTTTTTAGCTGTTCTGCTGTGTAAAATCCTAGAATCCCGATGAGTTTTTTAAAAAACTAATGTTCATCGCTACAATGTTTTGATTTTTCATTCATGCAGTCCACGCGAGCCCGTTCGCGCGTTGACAGTTTTGATAGACGTGTGACATGTGAATAGCGGAAGTCCCTTGTCTTTTCCGGTTTGTTTTAGTCGGGGCGATTCAACGAGATTTTGTTGGCGTTTTTAATAAAACAATTATTCCACTCGGGCTTGTTGGATATGAATTGGATTCTATCATCTCATATCCAACGCGCCCTCGTGGAATAATTGTTAAATAACCGGTGAAAGCGGCGCATGTGCTGAATGGGGAAAGAATTACGAATTCCTGTCTCCAAGCCCGTCAGCGTTTTTCTTTCCAGTTTTATCGAACCGCGTCATTTGAACTTTCTGAGAGCCTAGAAAAGGCTTACTATTACTTGTTCGAGAGTGTGATTGTTTTAGACCGTCTTAGCGTGAATGAACTCTGGTGTTACAATCATCCTATTCCGCTGTTGGGGCAAAAAATAAAATATCACTTTGACATTAACCTCTTACGTATCTTTATCACTAATTCTGTCTACAACTTGAAGTTGACTCGTTTGAAACGCTCTGACGACTCCTTTCCAATTGAGAATCGCGTTCAATCCCATTTTCTACAAAATCTTCGTTATCGTATGATGTAACATCCACGTCTTGTTCTACACGCTGGTGGGTGGTGGCGTACGCCACCGGAGCAATAGCGTTTCTCGAAAAACGTGGCTTACACAACAGCATGCTCCTTATGCGTTGTCTAAAAGGTGTGCTGTGTAATGTGTACACGATGGGGTTGACGCACGAGTTAAAAGTGACAAGCAGAATTCCAAGCTGATCAACTGGCGAGTTGGGTGTGACGTGGTCAGTGAACCGAAGTAGAAGAAAGATGACGCTGTTTGAGATCCAAGTAAGGATGTAAATGACGCTGATTATCAAGGTCATGCGTGTAATCTTTCTCCTGATAAAGAACAAACGGTAGAACAAAATTATATTATAAAAGAAGTTGAAATTTAGTTCAATTGCACAAATAAAAGCACAAACACCACATTTGAGTTCGCCGTTGACTGTTCCTATATTATATGGAACAGTCAACGGCGAACTCAAATTCATTTAAAATCGCTCGAAAAACCGCTTTTCAGGTAAAAGGACGACTATATACCACAGGTAAGGTAATTCAACGTTTATTTATCATTGATTTATATACATAGTTAGCGATATATCGCTATAGGTGAAGCAAACGGTAAATCCAGTACATTTACTATAAAATAACAATCGGCTACCCAAACAGATTGTGTGGGCTCCCTGTGCAAACACTTGCTATTAAATGAAGAAAAAATATAATAAGAGAAAAATGAAGAAAACTTATTTTTCCTTCATTACTGAATTCTAGTTGGTATACTCTCCTCTTCATCTTTTGCAGAAGAAAATAGCTGGTGCTTCCTTTTTTTTTTTAATCAGCTATATAACGTTGCTGTTTTTGACATCCAAACGCCGGAGGAACCGGGGGTAGCTGGGCGAGGGATGGGGGGAGTCTTCATGAGTCACTGGGCACACTGGTTAATAGATTAAGATAGTTTACTAGATAGATAGTTTATTAAAGTAAATAATAATGGGCAGCCAGAGGCTGAATTGTCTATTTACAAAAAAAAAAATAGGCTCAAAATAGAATAATTTACATTAGTATAAACACACTCAGTGATCTCTGTGATTTAAGCAATCTGATTGGTTCGCTGTCTCGGACTATTCAACAATATTCACCTCCTAGAGAGTGGATAATGTGTGAGCTCGATGTTTTTCCCAGTTTTTAAGAAAAATATCTTTTAAAAGTCGACAAAATCCCAGGGCTGACTTTTTTTTAAGGCAAGAAAAGGATTCAAAACGGCGTTTTTCCATGTACTGTAACTGATTTTTGGGCTCGATGAATTGTTTACAACTCCCGTTTATTCTCGTAGAAGAGGCCGTTTCGTGAACTCAGCGTTTCCTAACAAGAAAAATTTGGCCCAAAAATCGAAGTTTATTTATGACAAACAAATTTGAAAGTAACTGTTTGCAGAAATTCTACGTTTCAAGTAAATAGGAGAAAGAATGCTAAAGGAAGACGACGTCTTACCTCGAGCAACCAAGCAGCCATTTTTGTCAGCAATTCTTGCGAAGAACGACACAACAAACCTCATTGGCTATAAACTTGGCGAGTCAACAGAAAACAACGAAGCTCTCTACTTTTCATCTCAGTTAAGGAAACAATTCAAACTCTTAACGGTTCCATTTAAGCCATTACGCTGTTGTTTGCGAAGTGATAAACTTGTGAATTGCCATGTTTGAAAATTCTGCAAAGATCTATTTTTAATCTTTCGCCTGTTTTGATCCGTCAATCAAATCGTGCTTTTTAAGAGTTTCCTCTCTGATTTTGTTGAGATCACTTCATGTGTATATACTAAAAAAATTGTTCTCTTCACTCTCGGTGAATAGTGGCGTCAGGAATATTTAACTCGCCGCCGGGTTCGCGTCTCGGTAAATATTCAGCCTACATTCACCTCCATTTCAAAGAATAATTGTTAAATATATCAATATCAAAAATTAATCCATATAATGTACAAAAGAATTAACTCCGAATGATTTAATCGTACTTTAGGCACGATGACAAAACAAAACGGTTCTTAAAACGTTCCGTCTTCAACTTTGGGAGTGCAAAGTGTCGCTGATTTCTTAGTGAATATGGAGCCTTATTGGCTTCAGTTAATAACTTGTTACTGGGCTGCCTGTGCGCCTAGTCATAAAATGGGCTTTCGGTCGTCTGCGGCGAAAAACGGCCTCCCGGGGGAGGGAAGACACGAGGGTCTGGTACCGAGAAACGATGTTCTCACAAATGGTTTCATATGATTTTCTCTTGCACGGAGCCTTCCCGGGGGGGGGGGGGTACTGCCATATATGGGCTATATAGGTATGTGCCGCTGTGAAGGGTATGGTTTTAAAGCAGTTTACTCTAGGATAGGGTATATAAATCAGAGCGTTTGGGTCTAGAATGTCTAGAATAGGGTATCATTTTTCAGGAAACTGATCATTTGGTTGAAGATTTTATCTAGAGTAGGTAAACAGCTACTCTAGGATAGGGGGATTTGGGGAGTTTACTCTAGTATAGGGTAGCAAAATTCAGCTGAACTAGCTCTGGTATAGGTTAAGGGTTCCAGGGTCCCAGCGGCACATCCCCACCCAGAAATTCCTAAAGTACCCCCCCCTGCACGGATACTTTTTGAACCTCGTCTGCGCTCCTCCTGAGAAACCCACAAAGCGTTGCGAACCTGAAGAAGGCTATTTGCGTTGTTCGAAGCGATTCGATCATGGGAGTCACTCTATAATTTTTTTATTGTTCTAGTTAAAGTCAGTTAGATGATGTTGGTGCTGGGAAACTCAGAGAAATGCTTGCGTTGCATTCAAACCGACACGCTGTTCACGGTAGGTTCACACTAAAAGATGACTGTGAGCGTCAGGTTTGGAACGCCGTCAGCTGCGCCGTGGCCGCTTCGTGAACTCACAGAGAGAATTATCGATCGATGAAGTACATGAGCAATTAAGAAGCACAATTTATGAGCAAGGTATTTCACCAGTTGACGAAACTATGGCTGAAGACTTGATTGTAAGCCTTCGTAGTCAGTGAAGCGAACAACTTAGTTGCCGATGAATGCCACTACGCACGTCCATGAGCGAGGGACGTGACAACTTTGCCATGTTAGAAGACTGGCTTTTCCTTTTAATATTTCCTTCTATTTAATGCAACACACGCCACTTTGGAGGTCTAAATTTCGGATACTGAGGATAAAGAAGACACGGACAAAAATAGGGACTCTGAGAATTTCGCACACAAGTTTAAAGCTTCACCGGGACATCCCATCCGGGAGCTTAACAGAGAGCGACTTGAGGAAAATAGGAGCTATTACTGACAAGGTTTGGTGACTAAGTAGAGCATACAAGTGTAGCCCACGTCGAGGTTTCAGGGGGTTTGATTTTGTTTGTATTTGTATCTTGCTAAGCTTTTATCATTAAATTTGTACATGATCTTGTGATCACAATTCTGTGTTTTCGCCCATTCAGCAAGCACGCTATATTAATGTCAGCATTAGCGAGTTTCAGAAACTTGCCTTTGAAAGTTTTCAGCACTCGTGATGTTTCTTGATATTTCTTTTACCATTTTATGAAGATGTTAACTGAAGTCACCGCAAAATGGAAACTTAAAAAAGCGTATGATCCATTTATCTCGAAACCTAACACACATGACTTATACGACCTTTATTTTCGTAAAGGTGTTTTGAATACGAACGAACACAGTCAATGTGAGGGGCAAAAACAGCATTAACATAAATGAACCATAGGGTTTTAACTAATATAAGGGTCAATTATTGTGCATTGAGATGAATCGCTTGAAAAGAGCAGGGGCACCCAACGAGGATATAGTTCAAAACCACTTAACATAGCATTGTTGAACGTATTTTAGTATTCAAACGGTAGATATAGGCATATTTTTATCCCCTAAAAACTTTTCATCTGTTCGGATTTCCTAGCTGAAAGTCTAGTGATCCGAAAATTATAGGGATAAAAACTTACCTTCTCGAAAATTTCAGCCAGGAAAAGGCTCCCGAAAATTCTAGGTGGCCTTTTTTAGGGTCAAAATCCGTTAAAAATGGGTAATTATACCATTTTGTAGATGTTCGAAAATCCTAGGAGAGGCAGGCAAGCAAGAAATTTTACAACAAATGCTCCGAAAATTCTAGATCTAAAATCGTCTTCCGAACAGATATTTTCCCGAAAATTGCCGCTGAAAGAGAGACTTCGCTTGAAGATGTGATCAGAAGTAAACAAAGGCATAATAGTGCGTCACGTTCAGTCTTTTTAACATCCAAGGAGTCACTGTGAATAGTGTTTCCATATTGTTTAGCTGGCACAAAAACTTCGGACGAGTTATAAAGCGGCATAGTTATCTTCCATGAAGAAAAGTTCGTCTTGGGTGAGACAAACAGAACTGGAGCGAATTTTTAACTCGCATCGGTATCAGGTAAAAAATATGTTATCGATCGTTTCATCTATTTACATTGTTTGAAGTGCGTGCTGGTGAACGCAACATGCGAGCGAGAAATCTTTAAACTTTTTTGGGTCTCAAAATGCAAAGGATTTTATTCCTTTAAGTTAGAGAAAAATACCATGAGGAAAATCTTAAAACAGAATATTTTTCTTCTTGTGGAAAAAATAGTGCGTTTTCTTGTAGACTGTGGACCGCAAATTAGGATCGCACTTTTCACAAACATGGGAATTCTGAAGTTCAGAAGCCAACCGACGATTACGTTTTTCGCTGCTGTCAATCATCTTAACGGACCTCTTAGGAAACAAAACTTTACTTCACGGGTTCAAAAGGTCATGGTTTGTGATTTGTGAATTTCGATCCGTTTTGTGTGTTTCTCTGTTTCAAGGTTCGTTGCTTGTGATCGTAATTATGATTGACGGCAGCGATAAACACAATTGTGAAGGTGGCTTTTGAACTTTAG